GATAGTGGCCCTCAAGAACTAGGATAGTGGCCCTCAAGGACCAGGATAGTTCACGTTTTCACAAAACGCTTCACGCTGGGACTGAGACGCCTTCTGGCTGCGGCGACATCAACCCACCGCTGATGCACCGCTCAGCTCAGCGAGGTAGCAACAGCGCTAACAGAAGCTGGCTCCGCCCCTCGACGCAGTCAGGTGACAGATGTCCAGTTAACCCAGTCAGGATTTAAGATGGAAGATGGCCGACCACTGGTGGTTTGGAGGTTTCATATTTCAGAACGGTTTGTGAAAAAGACTCGAGTCCGGTCCAGACTGAGCTCCTCCTCTTTCTGGTTGAGAATCGTGCAGATGTAGAGGAGCTGACTCCTTCCAGCTGCTGCTTCTGTTTCTGTTGGTAAACAGCTAATGGTCGCGTTCCTTCACGGTTCCTGTAAAACCAAACCGGGCGTCCAAAAGCATCAAAGACAAACATGAAGTTACAGACGGCAGCTTTCATGCAGTGACAACTGTAAACTTTATTTCAATCCGTTTAACTTTATTTATTTATTTTCTCTGTTTGGATCGACATCTTCCAACAGCTACTCTTGTTTGATCGTTTGTTCTGGTGTTTTTTCAGGTTCAGATCCTGGATAAGAAGCTGGACTTGTCCAGCGTCCAGGCTCGCTGTGGTTCCAAAGAAAACTTAAAGCACAAACCAGGTGGAGGCAAAGTAAGATATCTGCTTTTATTTCATGGCTCTTAAAGAAGATGGACAAAAGTACCAAATATAAACCGCCAGAATACAGAAAGTTTTAAATGTGTCCAAGTTTTGACCAGCACGGTACCGTTTGTGTGACGTGTCTCAGTTTAAAGGTCTTCATCACAACAGGAACTGAGCCAGCTGCTGGTCTTACCAAAACCTCTGAAACGCTCAGACTGATTACTAAGTAACATTTATTTATATTACACCTTTCATGGATAATATCTTAAAGCACTTCACAATAAGATAAACTAAAATGACATTTGAACATCCATACATGTAAAGAAAACGAAGTATCAAAGCCCGAAACTTTAATTTCAGGGGCAGTAACGAGAGTTTCAGTCATATCGGAATCAAGTAGTCGTCACTTCACCACAGTTTAAAGTTAACCAAACCATTTTTAAGGACTTCAGTTGATGAAACTCACTTTGCTTGTCAGAACAGTAGAGCTGGACATCATCAGCAAAAACTGATATTTGATTAGGGTAAATAACATGGGTCTCAGGACAGAACCCTGAGGTACTCCCTCTTCTTTTAGACAAATCTCTTCCTTCGATCTTGGTAATTGTTTGTCTGCTGTGGTTCTGGTGCAGGTGTTTGTCAAAGAAATGTCAGCTGGTGGTTCCTCCTCTACGGAGCGGTGGCGGTCCTCGCCTCGCTCCGTCTCCAAACATAACCGTTTGTTTCTCCTCACAAACAAACTCCAGGTACAAATTCTTGAGAAGAAGTTGGACTTGAGCAGTGTGCAGTCCCGCTGCGGCTCCAAAGATAATATCAAACACGTTCCCGGTGGTGGAAATGTGAGTAGAGACGGGCGCTCCCGTTCTGACCCGGACGGGCCCAGCTCTTTAACTCCTCTCACTTTGATCTTTGGACTTATGGAGTCATGAGCGTTTCCTCTGCCGCTGACCCAAACCTTTCCTGCCCGGGTGTAGCTCGTTGTTTCCGTTAGCCTCGTTCCCCCTAAATGCTCATGATGGAACATAGTCCTGATAAATCTGTTTGTGACCCGAACTGACCCCCAGACCAGCATGCATCAGTTCTGTGCTCGCTTCAAAGTAAAGCTCTTGATCCACCTGCAGGAATGCATATCGCCCGCTGCACCTCAGTGCCAGCCGCCTTACAATAAGTAGGAAGTTTTAGTTGTTTAAACTGACTGTTGTGGACATTTGTGTTTGCTGAGGTTAACTAGCTTCAGCAGCCATCTTGGATTTTGTTGACTCCAAAAGTGAATCGGTTGTAGACGCACACCCAGTGGTTAATGGATTATTTTACTAACAGACAGACCAGGCCGTTGAAGCCAAAGCTTTATATATTGTGCAGTGTGTAGCACTCAGACCTGTCGCGATAAACAATAAATCAATTAATCGCGTGATAAATGAAAATTATCGACCACATGTTCGTTTATCGTCTTCATCGTTTCTTCGTGTCTCTCTTTCTACTGAAGACACTGGAGGACAAAAGACTCAACTCCGGTTCTTCACTGACTCCTCCCTTTCTCTTTAAAATCCATTTTAACAATCAAAACTCACGTTTTTGGATCGTTAAGAGCAGCTAAGCTACGAGCTAAGCTACGAGCTAAGCTACGAGCTAAGCTAACAGGCCGACCTCAGGGGAAAACCCTCCGTCTTGTCGAAGCTCCAAACTTCACGGTTGAAACTCATGCCTTCGTGTAAAAAGTTGTTTTTCTCCGCAAAGAGAAGCTGAGAACTTGTTTACCGATTTTTTTTATTAAAAGCTTTGCATGACAAATGCTAAAGAGCTCAAACCACTCCGAGCAGAACCGAAGAGAGACGGCCCATGTCACGTCTAGGGGCCTCCCTCCCATTTTTCTTAAAGAGACACGCTGCTCGCTCCCTCACTATCCATCCTTCAGTTCAAACAGTCTTATACTGCCATCCGGTGGTCAAAATAATGACTGATTATTGTCAAATTTCACACAATATTATCGTTTATCACAATAATTTCTAATCGCCCCGCAGAATGCGTTATCGTGACAGGCCTAGTCCCTCAGAGAGTGTGTTGAGGATGTTGCTCAGCTACTACCACACCAAACGTTGGCTCCGGCTGACCTCTTCGGTCGTGGAGTCTTTTTGCCTCTGCTGGGGCCGATGCTCCTCAGGATCAAGTGACCTAATTGTGCCAAAGGAGGGACAAAGCGTCTCTTGTCCTGGACCTCAGAGCGTTTCGTGTTCCCACAGCCGACCAGAAGACGAGGTCACTTCAGTGCACGGATCAGGATCTTTATTCCTAATCAGCAGCTTTTAACCACTAAATCATAAGTGTTTTTATTGCAGCACTAATAAACGGGTTCTGAATCCTAATGTCTAATCCAGCTCGTCTCGGCTTTTATTGGTTTGTTTCTAAAGACTGAGGTCGGCCGGCTCAAAGTTTGAACTAATGGATTAATTTTTCCACGAGTCGATAAAAACGTTCTGTTGTCGTTTCTGTCGTCTGCAGATTCAGATCGTGCACAAAAAGATCGATTTGAGCAACGTTACGAGCAAATGTGGATCCAAGGACAACATCCGCCACAAACCAGGTGAGACGGCTCCGACTTTTGTCCAAAGGAAAACAAAACTTTTCACACGCGCTCGCTCAGGATTAACAGATTTACTTTAATCCCATAAAGTGGTTCGGAGTATTAGTTGTCCAGATTTGTTGGTTGATATTCAAAACAAACACCGAATGAAAAGCAGAAATTTAAACAATTAAAATCTAATAAACAAAAAAACAACTTTGCATTTATTTTAAACAATAGAATGAGAACTCAGTAATTAAAGAAATAATCTCAGACCAAAAATAAAGAATAAACCTGAGGCTCGTTTTAAAACACGTTTTATAGTTTGGCTGCTTTATTTTATTTTTCAAGTAGTTATTTATTTTTTATACTTTATTTTCTGAGGAAAGGTTTTCGTTTTTTTATCTGTGAAGGATCCAGGCTACAAATAATAAACAATTAAAATGTGTAATATTCTTATTTCTTTAGTTTAATCTTTGAAGAACAACAAAATATAACAGTTTGACAGTTGGCTGAAAACTCGTCTGTTATTTTTAAAGGTGCATTATTTGTATGACAAGATAAATAATAATAATAATAATAATAATAATGCCAGACTGTGGGGGTTTTAATCCGAGCTGCTGGATTCTGTGAATTAACTCCAGGTCAAAGCTTCCCACACAGCGAGGATAATCCCAGATTATTCCTGGATTTTAGTCCTAAAACATTTGTCTGAGCTGCTAAACTGGCTCCAAATTAGGTTTCACTTCCAGTTTTAGATGTTTTGGACTGAGACTGGTCACCCAGCGGTTCTGTACGGTCTCAGTCTAGAGACGTCCTCCACCGCAGGTCTTCATAATTACAGATGCACGATATTATCGGCACGGTATCGTATCGGCTGATATTAGCGATAAAGTTAAATATCGGCCATTCCATCAAAATAACTCTCCGATATAAAAGATGCTGTTTTTGTTTGTTCGAGTGATGTCATCGTGTCAGAGATTAAATGTCATGAATAAATTTGACGTTAAAAAATAATCCAAGTTGAAGTGTTTCATTATTTTCAGCCTTTTTGGCGTTTTCATTTGGCAGCAGCTAAACTGACAAAGATGTTTGTATTAAATAGAAATAATGTTTGTATTAAATATAAATAATGTTTGTATTAAATAGAAATAATTTTCACTCCACAGCAGAGAAAGTTGTCGTCTGTCAGTAGATCTAGAAAACAATATATTGACATATCGTTCAAAAATCCAATATCGTACATCCCTATTCATAATTCATGAAGAACACTTCTGCTTGTTCTCTTGTTCTTCTTCTTATTATTATTAGCATTATTATTAACATTATTATCATTATTATAACATTATTATTATCATTATTAGCATTATTATTATCATTATCATTATTATCATTATTATTAACATTATTATTATTAACATTATTATTATCATTATCATTATTATTATTATTATTATTATATCATTATTAACATTATTATTATCATTATTATAACATTATTATTATCATTTTTAACATTATTATTATCATTATTATCATTATTATTATTATTATATCATTACTAACATTATTATTATCATTATTATAACATTATTATTATCATTATTAACATTATTATCATTATCATTATTAACATTATTATTATTATTATTCTGTTTCAGGTGGTGGAAACATTGAGATCAAAAACGAGAAGGTAGAGTTCAAAGTTCAGTCTAAAGTCGGCTCCATGGACAACATCGGCCACGTTCCCGGAGGTGGACTGAGGAAGGTAAAAACATCTGGATCTCACAGCAGGTTCTCTCTCGTTTCACCAAAAATAAAATCCTCGGTTCATTTTTCTTCCAAGTGGCTCCAAAACTGAGTTTTGTTGTTACGAGAACTCGTAACGTGAAGCTAAACATCAGGATTTCTCACCACGAGTTCTGACTTTGATTTGTCAACATTGTTTTACAAACATCAGCTGAAGGTCTGGAGTGTCTGCAGATGTTTGTAAACATCAGCTGAAGGCCTAGTCATCTGCAATGTTTATAATCAGCTGAAGGTCTAGTCATCTGCAGATGTTTATAAACATCAGCTGAAGGTCTGGAGTGTCTGCAGATGTTTGTAAACATCAGCTGAAGGCCTAGTCATCTGCAATGTTTATAATCAGCTGAAGGTCTAGTCATCTGCAGATGTTTACAAACATCAGCTGAAGGTCTGGAGTGTCTGCAGATGTTTGTAAACATCAGCTGAAGTCTTAGTCATCTGCAGATGTTTACAAACATCAGCTGAAGGTCTGGAGTGTCTGCAGATGTTTATAAACATCAGCTGAAGGTCTGGAGTGTCTGCAGATGTTTATAAACATCAGCTGAAGGTCTAGTCATCTGCAGGTGTTTATGAACATTAGCTGAAGGTCTGGAGTGTCTGCAGATGTTTATAAACATCAGCTGAAGGTCTAGTCATCTGCAGGTGTTTATGAACATTAGCTGAAGGTCTGGAGTGTCTGCAGATGTTTATAAACATCAGCTGAAGGTCTAGTCATCTGCAATGTTTATAAACATCAGCTGAAGGTCTAGCTGAAGGTCTAGTCATCTGCAATGTTTATAATCAGCTGAAGGTCTAGTCATCTGCAGATGTTTACAAACATCAGCTGAAGGTCTGGAGTGTCTGCAGATGTTTGTAAACATCAGCTGAAGGCCTAGTCATCTGCAATGTTTATAATCACCTGAAGGTCTAATCATCTACAGATGTTTATAAACATCAGCTGAAGGTCTGGAGTGTCTGCAGATGTTTATAAACATCAGCTGAAGGTCTAGTCATCTGCAGGTTTTTATGAACATTAGCTGAAGGTCTGGAGTGTCTGCAGATGTTTATAAACATCAGCTGAAGGTCTAGTCATCTGCAATGTTTATAAACATCAGCTGAAGGTCTAGCTGAAGGTCTAGTCATCTGCAGATGTTTATAAACATCAGCTGAAGGTCTAGTCATCTGCAGAAGTTTATAAACATCAGCTGAAGGTCTGGAGTGTCTGCAGATGTTTACAAACATCAGCTGAAGGTCTACTCATCTGCAATGTTTATAATCAGCTGAAGGTCTAGTCGTCTGCAGATGTAAACGGACAAACATCAGCTGAAGGTCTAGAGTCGTCTGCAGATGTAAACAAACATCAGCTGAAGGCCTAGTCATCTGCAGATGTTTATAAACATCA